AACGATAAATACTACTTACTTGAAATAAACAGAAAGAACACAAATTATTATTTTTGTCGATGATCACTTTACATTCTTCCTTTGTGGTAAGTAGTAAAATACATTTTTCTTGTGCTTTAGAATAATTCATCGAAATTTGAAGTTCAATTTTACATAACCTACAATCATTACAAGTATGAAGAGACTAGAAGTTCATTCTTTTCATATGTATTCCTCAACGTTGATAGTTAATTATAGTATAAAAATGTAGAATAGACTACAGACAGAAAAAAATGTCGATCAATACATCACATCATCCATACACGTGTTAGAGATATTTTTATTAGTTATAAAAAATTTTCTTTTCTTTTGATTTACATATGATTCATATTTGTCACGTCATACATAACGAAAAAAAGTTGGTAAAAAAATGGGAAGAAGTTGTGCAATAAACTTGTAGTGTTTTTATGCATACGTCACAAACATATTGTTGTTGTTGTTTTTGTAAAACAACAGATAATTATAACTGATTTTCATTTTACAAAATTGTTTTAATAGATTTATAAAAATTAGGTTGACTATCATCTTGCAAGATGTTTTGACGAGTACATAAGAATATTGCATATTTGTTGCGTAATTCTCTTTCAGTTTTTCTTACCAACTAACTTTTTTTATGTACCTGTAAATAAATATGAGTCACACACAACTCAACACAGAAAAAAAATTTCTCCGAATCGATCAATGAATCAGAGATGATATTTTAGGTGATTACTTGTATATAGTATGTTATTCTTATTTGTGAGTCTTTTTTTTTCATACTTTTCACGATATAGAAATATGATTATGGAAAAGGTGAGTTTACTAAAGCAGAGATTTTGCTTTACTCTAATAACAAAAAAGAAATGAGGAAATAAATAAACAAAAATCCTGATTAGTTACTCGATTTGAATGGATATTATTGAGAAAAAAAGTATTTGATCAATGATAATATTTTGAATAAACGATGTAGAGTGTTAAACGATGAAATCGATCACTATTCGAACTTGAGTTTCTTTTTTTCTTCCAACAGTTAATTCAAGTATCAGGGACTGATTGTCGTTCGATGTCTAATAGTTACGCATCATTCGGACTGTACATGGCTTATTCACAACTCGATAATATTGGTTTCTTATTACATCATTATATGCAGTGTTGATGTGGCAGGTTGTTCTTCCGTCTTCAACTCGTTTAGTTTGAATTAAATATCAAATGAAAATTTTTTCTTTTCTCTTTCGAAAGATATATAAAGAGGATGATGCAATATTGTCACTTTCCTTTTTTTAGACGGCATCACAAGATGAGGGCATCCGTAATGAAAATCTTTCTCTATTGAGCTTAGAAAAATGACAATTCACTCCTAATAATCAATCATACAATAGAACTTTCAAAACTCTACAAATTAGTTGTATGGCAGTGAATTTAATTCATCAACTAATAACTTCAGTAAAATGCATAATGTTCTTGAATTGCAATAGGTATATCACAAAATCTTCCGATAGCTTTTATTTTCGTGCAAAATTTCAGGCTTGCACACTCTCAGAGTTACGTGAAAAAATAAAGTCAGTCAAAACATCAGTTTGACTGTAAAAAACCTATTTTAAACTTGTAAAAAGCTAAGAAAATTTAAGAGGGCAGATGAATGAATAATAAAAAATGATATGTTGAATGACTGTATATTTCATCATATCCATGCGGATAACTCAGCCTGGCATTTTGCACAGAAATAAAAGATACAAGAAGATTTTGTCACATTATAGGTTGTCTCTGATTTCTTATATTGATTTCTATTATATCATTTGTTTTGTTAGAAAGTCCAATTATTCTTGTCATAATCGGTGAATTAAGCTCAGCACCATATTACTATTCTGTAGAGTTTTGAAAAATCTATTAAACTTATAGTAGATCGTCGCCTTTGAATCCTCAATAGGGAAACACTTTCGTCATGAATGTACTCATATAGTGTATATAAGTGAACAATGACGTCTAAAAAAAGGAAACTACCAATGTTTTATCATCCTCCCTATGTCTCATTCGATAGAAGAAAAAAAAAGAACTTTCATCTAATGTTTTATTCAAACTAAACGAGCTGACAATGAGAGAAAAGCGTACCATATGAACACAGCATGGCATGATACTATAGAAGATCGATAATATCGAGTTTTGAGTAAGCTATGCACAGCCAGAATGAAGTCTAACGGTCTAATTTGAACGACAATAGATTTCTTATATCTTAATTTATTATTCGAAAATATAAGAAACTCAAGTCTGAGAAGACCGATTTTATCACTTAACTAACCTAGTTCTTTCTAAGAAAGCAAAAAGAGCTTTCATTTATATATTATATCTCATTAAGATTTTATTCGGTAGTTAAAACAAAATATTCATCTTAGTCAGATTTCATACCGTTATTCAAAGTGATTCATCAAATAAATAAAGTGTCCGTATTTCGAATTTCAAGTTGAATCATTTTTCACCATTTTGATATATAGTTTGATAGAATGTGAGTCACTGCCGATGAAAAGCCAGTTTTTAACGTTTATCAACACACTCCTTTCATGATGAAATCAAATCTTTTATCATGTTCGTTTCATCATACTGTCAGTCATAAATGTATGCTTCTTTTTTCTTCTCTTTCTTTTTTATTTATTGAGAAAAGCCTTTTTTTTCTTAATTGTTAACTAAATAGTTAGAATTCTGTCAATGACTTTCAATTTTCTTCATGAAAACTAAAGTTTTTTGCAATATGAATATGATATTCGAAATCAGTATCAAAAACTGAGTCGATCGATATATATATTTCCAAATCTTTCATGTTTTGGTGAAAATTTCAGTCACTATTTCCAGTGAAAACTCAAAAAATTGTGAAGTTATCGGAAACGATAAAAGTGCACATGAATTAACTCACCTTTTGACGCTGATTTCGAATATGATATTTATATTACATAAAACTTTAATTTTCATGAGGAAATTATCCGCAGCCCACACCCTCAAGATAGCAGGATGAATCGAACAGGACAAAATATTTGATTTCATCATGCAGATGAAAAAACTAGATAGGCTTATAAAAATGAATCATCAGCAATTCTGAGTAACGGTAAATGGTGTCCAACATAAATACACTTTTTGGACAGATTTTGTATCATTTGAAAACGATGTGCTTTTCTCGAAGAACAACAAATGTGAAGTTTTGGGGTTTTTTCGATCCGAAAGAAGTATCCAGAAACGTTAAAAACTAGTTTTTCATGATCGACAGTTCACGGTCTATCAAACTGTATGCGAAAATAATGACAAAAAAATCCATCTTAAAATTTGAATAACGGGTACCTTACAAATCGATGAATGCTTCAACGAAGAAATGCGATAAGAAGGAAGAAGTTTCGCAAACTCTTGCTAATATTCATAATCGAACTGAGTCACTAACTAAACCAATAAAGAAGCCATGCGCTCTTTGTTTATGCTCTATGTCTACCACTGGACTTTGAATATACAGGTAATAAAGATACAGCTCATTGTAAGGAGTGTGGACTTTAAATCTCCAACTGCACATTAGATATGAATTCATTTACTATTCATTCGAAACATCAATCTGATTGTCACTTTGTCTCTTCTCTAGAGTCAACTAAATTACTAAATACATCTGCGTCTCCCTATTTGTCAGCAACTGTTGTTCGAAACATATCAACACCAAATAAATTAGAAAGTTTTTGTAAACATCAAAAAATCGAAACAATGAATTCAGAATCCGTGCCAAATACTTTACTCGAAACAAATTCACTTCAACAAGTACGAAAACGTACTTTTTCGCATTGGTCACATCGTATCATTCAATCAAGTACACAAATGATTGAAGCTGGATTTTTTTATTGTAATCTTGGTGATCGAGTAATATGTATCTATTGTAATCTAATTTGTCAACAATGGACACCAGATACAGATGATCCATGTGAAGTACATCAAACACTTTCACCTAATTGTGCATATGTCAAAGCAAAATTAATACGTCCTGCAGCTTCATTAGAAATGCCAAAACATTTTGCATCATTTGCAACATGGTCAAATGAAGATTTACCATCAGTAGATGATTTAGTTCGAGCAGGATTTTTCTATACAGGTACAAAAACTATTGTTACTTGTTTTTATTGTAATGGATCATTACAAAGTTGGCGTCCAAATGATAATCCATTGATTGAACATGCTCGTCAGTGTCCAAATTGTACATATGCTCAACAATTATGTGGTGATGATTTATATCGAAAAATTCAAGAATCTAAACAAACACAACAAGGTAGATTTCAATAATTTTAAGGTAATATTTATTTATTTTTTCTAGAAGGTGTGAGAAATAATGAAATAAGAGAAAAAGCAGGTTCTAGTGGTATTTTAAATACTAATCGAACTATAAATAGTCGACTATTATTAATACCTGATGATCGTACTTTTTCAAGACTTGTTACTGCTCGATTAGATTTACCGATGTCAC